GTTTTGCATAATCTCAACTTAGTATTTGTGCACACTTGATCCTCACGTTCTATAATAATTTTGGTGATTGGTTATTGTCTTGAGAATGGAACTTGTGTGGAATGCTAAGATGATTCTTAATTGAAACAAGTTGTGTTGTGTCGAGTTGGATTGTGGGTTGTTAAGTTGTGCGAAGTGGGAGTATGATCAACTTCAGTGCTATATTGGTGATTTAGTTCTTGTTTTTGCTTGAGGACAATCAAAGGTTTAAGTGTGGGGGAGTTGATAAGTGCCAAAATGTTAATGTTTTCACCTTGCATTTAAGCTTATTTTCCTTGTTATTTGTTATAATTTTGCCCAAAGTGTCCTCATTTGATTCATTTGTGTGCCTATGAGTAATTCTTGATGATTTAGATGAATTGACTGATTTTTGGGGCATTTCGGATGCATGTAGAGTCAACAGGAGCCAATGAGAAGCTATGAAGATGGGGGCAACAACTTTAATTTTAGAGAGCCAAATTATGGTGTGTTTATTGGTCTTGATCATTTGGACAAACAAAGGCAAAAGTGGAGCAAAAGAGCAAAAGAGCAAGAAGTTGAAATCGTCCATTGCTCGGTGTTTTCATCATATCTCTGCGTAGGATTGTCCAAATCAAGTGATTTTTATGTCATTGGAAAGCTAACTTGAAGAGCTACAACTTAGATGAGGACCACAAAAACTAATTCAAAAGTTTCTAAGGTGCAAAATTACTTAGAAGACAGACTCAGTGCACAGGCAGTGCACACTTCCTTGTAGCCATGGGTGTGGCCACGCCCGTGGCCACTGGGCAGTATACACTGCATTTCTGGCCACGGGTGAAGCCACACCCGCGACCAGCGTCTGCAACTTATTGAAGCGCGATTTTGACCCCTTTTAAGGGGATTTTTTCACCCCAAAACACATCTTTCATTTCCCTTTCATTCTCTAGTTAAGTTTAGCTCTAGAATAGCTTAGATTAGTGTAGATTACTTGTTCCTTTACATTTCCAAGCTCAAGAACATTGCAAATCTTGGATTTCAAAGCTTCAATAGAGAAGTTTTCTTATTCATCTCTTCTCTTTACTTTTCATCTATGCTTTCAACTACTCTTTTAATATTGTGTATCTATTGTTATATTATGAGTATCTAAGTGTTTTGGGACTAGGATTTGGTTTGATTTCTTGCTATTGATGTCTATTTGAGTTGTATTGCATAAAGGAGATTGTCTGGGTGTTCTAGGGTTAGTTGTGTGATTTTGGATTGTTATAAAATTGTGTATAATTGTTGGATCCCAATTATATGCTTTATTTGGAGTGTGTTTGTTGCTACGAGAGTAGAGCTTGTACACTAGCCACATATTCACACACTTGATGCCCAATACGAGAGTATTTCTGGTATTAAGGATAATTTATGCCTTGTGTTCTTGCTTGGGCAACCTTGGATTGAATTGCCACGAGAGTGGAGTTTAAGGATAGGTTGCAAGTCCAAATAGCTACGAGAGTGGTATTTTGACACTTTTGTGCATCTCACTTACCCTATGCCTTGTTTAATTCCCTAATCTTAGTGTATCATTTGGCATCTTAGCTTGAATCAACCAAGTCCGGTCCTTTGTTTTGCTTGTCTATTTTGTTATTTGTTAATTCTTATCAAACCAACTCTTTAACGATTGACCTAGCTTCTATAACGATAGTTTTAGCTTGTGCTTAACTCCACTTTGCATCAATTCCTAACATTCAAGAGCCATCTCCAGTGGAATGATATCTAAACTCTATACTGTGATTTGATACTTGATGGATGCGTGAAAATCGTCCTCATCACCCTAGTATGTGCACAAGGCTGGTTGAGGTTACCAAATCAACCAGTTAAGGTTGAAGAAAATATTGATGATGTTTAAAAGCTTGAACACAGTAATTTATTTAAACTTTACATTCTGTTTTACCTTTTTAAATTTAGATATGAATATCATTTCTTTGTTTTTCTTTGCACTTTGCAGAGTTGGCTACTGGAATAAGTGGAATTGGAAGCACAGGATCTGGGGCTGCTAGTTCTTCCCTTCCTACCATTCCTGTAATGTTTTATTTACAGTCATTCCATTTTCTTGTGATATGTGATTTCACTGATTTCTGATTTGATTTTCAATGAGGAAAACTGACAAGGTTTAAAGGCTTGGTAACTACTAACAATTCAATTGTTGGATTTGTTGACTTGTTGCTGCCCTTGATTCCATTGATCCATTCAATCCTTTGGAGACTGGGGGTGGCCCCATGATACTATGATAGTAATCATAGTATGATCCCATCAGGTAAAACAGTATCAGCCTACTGCATATATGAATAGCATATATCTGAACTGGTCATCTGGTAATACCAGTCACTCTCCCTTATTCTCAATTTCTCATTCTGTTTTATCTCATTACTGTACTAATTGGCTATTTGGCTATGATGATGCTTCCACCACTCTTTGAAATGGCATTGGGTTGGTCTGTTGCTCATTAGTTTTGATTTCTATTCCAAAACTGAAAGTAGCGATTTGCTCCCAATTCTACATTGACATGAAAACATAGCAATCTGAGCCTTCTTTTTTTTTTTTTTTTTTTTTTCAGCACAAATGTGCAACTGTAATTGTGTGAATATGTGATGTTTCATGGTTTTATTTAACTTGTGTTTTGTCTTTTCGTAGGAAGATGATGAATGCTGAATTCTTATTTCTAAATTGCTGATTCTAAATGCTGAATAGTGAATACTGATAGAGTGATTGTGACTTTTGTGTTTTGGTGTTAGAGATTTTTGTCTTTTTGTCTCAATTCATATGTAAGAATTAAGATTGTATGTATGTTTGAGCATTTTACTAATTTACTTAGTCTTCTAGCATAGTAGCATGTCTACAAGACTTAGTAAGTCACTTAACATTTGAAAGTTAGTTACTACTTAGGCAATTTTTAAGTTAAGCTTGTTATTTTAGTTTTTTTATTTCAAATCCGAATCCGATCCGACCAAATTCGAACTTTGTAAAACCGAATGGAATTTCCTATAAAAATTAACGGATAGGAGTTAAAAAATGCAATCCATAATCCGATCGGGGCAGTTTCGATATCCGAACCGCCCGAACCCGTCCGATGCACACCCCTAATTACAACAGCAAATGAAAATGTTTGGAGCAAAGACACCTTTTTTCTGTGTCACAATAGAAGATTCCTTATTACCAGGAGTCAAGTTTCCACTCTGAGACATGTAAGGGAAAAGTGAATGTAATTTTAAGTTTTTAACAAATAACAATAGGGTTTTTTGTCATTATAGGATTTATAAGTTCCTTGTAGGCTTGTATTTCACTCTTGTGAATCTTAAATGTCAAATCTTGTGATTCTAAGATCTATAATTTCTGTGAGCCCTGTCATATCATTTTCCCAGCTGTACTATTAAAAGCACCCCATGAGGACATTAGCATGCACTATAATATAACAATATCCACACTAAGGATGTGAGGGCTTTAACAAACAAATTAAAGAAAGGTATGGAGTGGTTTTGTGATATGTTTTCTCCGATCCAGTAAAAGGGTATGTACACTACTACATATATACAAAATGTGATGGCATTGCATACCTTCCTGTCTGCTAGCTTACGGTTTATGGCATTAAGCACATTGTTGTACTCAGCAACCTTAACCTACAGCCATAAATTACCAACAAAAATTACAAGTTTGACAGAGCTTAGCTTCCAATGATAAATTTAAAATAAACTCAACTTTTCGGGCATATAACTGGGATTGAAAGGCATATATAACCAGGTTTCCTGCTCAGCAATTACATATGCCTCATAAATATGCACAATGGAGTCCAAAACATGAAAATTCTAGTGAAGTGAAAGACCAAATGTAGCTTCACAATAGCATAGTGAAACAATTATCCTCATCTTGCTACCTATCTTGGTAAAAGATTTAGTTCATATAAGAAACATGTTGTACAAACTGTTACTATCTACTAAAAATAACAATTTTTTTTTGAATGTCTTGGAAATAAATGTCATATTAAAAGGAGAAAGCACTAGATATCTTTTCCAGAATTTTTATACAATTTTATCTTAGAGATAAATAACTAAAACTCAGAGATCTAAAAACATATAGATAAATCACAAATAGTATTTCTTATCTCAAAGATGTCTAATTGATACAAGGAAACTAGACAATGAAGACTACTTTGCTTCAAAGTCTAGAAATGTTGTGTAAATATTAAAAGAAAAACGCGCTAAATAGGAAGGTTATGGTGCATCAATTGGAAACTGTGATGATATTATCAGTATTGGTGCCTGCTAGTTAGTTTTTAATATAAGAAAATTTTATCAAAAAGAAAAGGTTTACGGATAAGACGATAAAGCATCCTCATTACAAACTAATACCTTAAGATCATCCTCAATCTTCACAACTTGGGAGTGAACTCCATCTACAGTCTCCTTCAGAGGTGACATTATATTGTAGGATACTTAACCTCACCCCACACAAATCTAGGACAAAAATGAAATTGCAAAGTCTAGAAACAAGTCAAATGCATAGAAATCATAAAAGGAGGAAGAGAATAAGAAGAAGAAAATCAAAGAAGCCATAAAAATCAGATTTTTTTTTTATTCCAAGGCTTGATGGCCAGAAGATTTAAAGAAACTGTATCAACAGAACTGGTAAAACAAAGGTTACAAGAAATGCTTACATCAGATGCCAAATAAAAAATGCCCAGACATGAAATAGGAGAATTACTAAGCTGGGGTAGAAGAGTTATGAATTATAAGCAAAACGGAATGAACATAAATATATTATTGTATATACTTACAGCAGAATAAGCACTATCTATCTCCAATTCATACACTATCCTTTTTTGGATCATTATCCAGTGACCAATACAATGAAGAAGGGATGAACAATGGTAGGTACACAATGAATATCTTTCTACTCGACCTGGCTAGGCTAGTTCTTAAATAACAGTCAAAACGTTCTTGCTTTATCGTTGCCTCTTCAGACTAACTATATCTATTGTGTAACTCCAAAAGCTGCTCAAGAGACGCCGAAGACCATTTATCCTCGGTGTGTGCAAATACCTTCTCATTCAGAGAGTCTATAATTATGCTTATGCTACCAAAGCCATATATTTGATGATCATCATGTATCATGCCTGGCTTTAGCTTGAATACCAAACCATTCTGCTGCGCATGAGATTCTATTATTTTTTTCAAGCTGAACACTGATCGATTGTGTAACTCCAAAAGCAGATCAGGAGATGCCAAAGACCATTTATCCTCAGTTAGTGCAAATACCTTCTCATTCAAAGAGTCTATAATTATGCTTATTCTACCAAAGCTATATATTTGATGACCATCATGTATCCTGCCTGGCTTTGGTATTAATAGCAAACCATTCTGCTGGGCATGAGCTTCTATTTTTTTTTTCAAACTGAGCTTTGATTCACTATCTTCACCATCGACTTCGAGCCCACCACTCAAGTTCACAGAAGCATTTTCTTGAGCTTGTGCTGCTGCCTTTTTCTTGGTCTCTAATTGCCTCTTTTCAAACACTCTTATATTCTCTCTTAAACCTGGCTGGACTACCTCCATGCCTTTAGCAGCCTGGTTCACCATATCCATACCAACAAAAAGCCTATACTGGATATGATCATTTGCAAGAAGTTCAGGTGGCAATTCTTCTACTTTTATGTAAAGCTTCTTTTTTGAAACTTGCTTCAGCCAGGGCTTGTCTCTTTTGTGGCTTTCCAATGGCTGAGCAGGAAGAATAGGGGCAGACTTTGCTTCAGAGGGTGGCACCTTAGTCTCTTTGTATTCATTGAAACCCATTCCCATGTTCTTAGGCCGCAACTTTGGTTCAATAGGAGCTGTGGTACCTTGTTCATTCTTGCCAAGGCCACCTCCCTTATAACCCATCTTTTCAAGAAGCTTCATCCCAATCCCCTTAGTGTGCTTCTCAAATGATCCAAGGCCAGAAGATGATGCTCCAGTAGGCTTATCATCATCATGATCATCCTTAAGATCACTATCAATATGAATTTCAGTGGAGACAAAGTTAAGAGGCTTGGTAAGGTGTGGCTTCTTAGAAACTGAAAAGTCTTTCTTGCGCTGCTTTTTGCCCCTTCTCTCCTCATAGTCCGAATCGCTACTATCAGCAAAAATGCCATAGATAGCATCGGTCCGCGCCCGCTTCTCCTTGCGTTTACTACGGTAGTAAAACTCACCCTCATTCTCCATCACAAACGTAACCTTTCTTTCTATCTCCAGCTACGAGCTTAGGGCTTGGCTTGCGAGGGAGGGCTCAGGGCTCGATTAAATTGGAAGACGGAAGAAGATTTCCTTACCCTCCTAACTAATCTTCAGCAACGACATGCAAATCAAAGAATTGATGAGAGCTTTGAAAATTGACTCATCTCACAACTCAGAAGCAGCTATATATTTGAATACAAAAAGAGGAAATAACAGAGCGAAACCGGAATAGGAATATGAATAATGAATATGAATTTGAATAGGAATAGGAATAGGATTTAGCAGGGTGATGAGAAGACGATTGTGGACTTGTATAACAATTGTTTTTGTTGAATATTAGGAAATCTTTATTGAATATTAGGAAACTCCTACTCAGATGGACTTAGTTTCTCATTTCAATTAGGATTAGTTTAGTATATATATATATATATATATATAGAGAGAGAGAGAGAGAGAGAGGGGTCTATAGCAATAGTTATGCTGTGCAACCGAATGTACCATGCGCATGGTGCATACGGTTCAAAACGACGTCGTTTTGATTAAAAACGCGCGTCCCACTTAAAAAAAAAAAATCAGGTTCGACTCTCAGCAATAGCATTATTGTGGATATATAGTTATGAAATTGTGGTTATATAGTTATGAATTTATGGATATTTAGTTCATTCATTGTGGATATTTAGTTCAATCGTATATTGTGGATATTTAGTTCATTCATTCATTGTGGATTTTTACTTCATTCATTCACTGTGGATATATAGTTATGAAATTGTGGATATATAGTTATGAAATTGTGGTTATATAGTTATGAATTTATGGATATTTAGTTCATTCATTGTGGATATTTAGTTCAATCATATATATATATTGTGGATATTTAGTTCATTCATTGTGGATTTTTACTTCATTCATTCATTCATTGTGGATTTTTACTTCATTCATTCACTGTGGATATATAGTTATGAAATTGTGGGTATATAGTTATGAAATTGTAGTTATATAGTTATGAATTTTTGGATATATCAAAATGCTATTGCCGGGAATCGAACCTGATTTCTTCTTTAAGTGGGACGCGCGTTTTTTTAACCAAAACGGCGCCGTTTTGCAACCGTATGCACCTTGCAAGGTGCATTCGGTTGCACAGCATAATTTGCGGGTCTATAGAGGCATAGAGAACACATAAAGACCTAATGTATTGTAATTTTTTATCTACAAATCTACATCTACAATCTACAAATTTAATAAGAGTCAACAATGTTAGGTCATTAATTGAACAAAAAAAAATGACTGTGTAATTGTTTCTTAAAATTATTGGTTCGTATTATTTTGATTTTAGTATTATTTAATGATTTAATAATTTTCTTTATTTACCCTCTATTATATTATTTTTTTTCCATAAATAGCCATAGATTCCGTTAGTATAAACTTTAAGAACGAAATATTCTGTTAATTATTTATTATTCTTAACTTATTCATTAATTTCTATATATATAAAAAAAAAGGCTTAGGTTCAAACCACACCCCAATTAGAGTTGGCATCATTGTTAAACATATACTACGAATATGTTAAAACATATTAATATATATATATATATATATATATATATATATATATATATATTGGTTCCTGTGAGGTCATGTCTTCCTGTGCGGTCAGTGCGACATACACCATTAGGTATGTATAAATGCACCATACAGTGTTCGAAAATACACCAGAATGAAATGTCAAAAAATACACCACAAAAAAAATACACCACACATAATGGTGTATTTACGAACACTGTGTGGTGCATTTTTACATACCTAATGGTGTATGCCGCACTGACCGCACGAAAATACCTGACCTCATAGGAACCTGACTATATATATATATATATATATATATATATATATATATATATATATATATATATATATATATATAATTTAACATAAATTTTGGTCAAATAACTAATCCGACTAAATATATCCGACTAAATTTTGGTGAGTGTATGTATTTAGTCGGATTAGTTATTTGACCAAAATTTATGTTAAATTATATATATATATATATATATATATATATATATATATATATATATATATATATTACACAATTTTAGTATAAGTAAGATAAAACAGCAAAAGTTAACAAAAAATGAGTCAACCTAGATGGTAAACCATGTGTGTTTGCCAAAGGAAGGGCACAGGTTTAAATCCTATGTAATCTTTTTAGCTTGAACCCAGATTTTATAGCTATTTGAATAATGGTGAGGGTCTCAAAGAACGCAGTTTTTATGGCTATGTGAGATGTGAATTTTCTCTCTCACACACATATATACTTTTATATTAATAATGAGATGTGTAATTTATAATGTGTTTTCTATTAGAATTATTTTATCAAAACAAATATGTTTCATATTTTATCAAATAAATTGTTATTTCATATTGTTTTAATGTTTTGCATAAGGTTTTGATGCTTAACATTTTGTTATAAACTTATAGATATTTTTTATTATTTAAACTTCACCCCACTCAACTATTTTTCTGGGCCCGCCCCTAAGTTGGGCATCAAAGATTTTAAATCATGAACTTTAAAAATTATTTGATTTTCTTGCATTTAAAAAAAAAAACAAGTTTAGGTTGAGTTTTTTTTTTCTTCGTTTAATTAATCTTTGACGGCAATAATGTTACCGGAAATATAATATAAGAGTAACGAATAAGAGAGTAACAATAGTTGTATTGCCTTTGTCTCAGTATAGAAAGTACAGTGTGTCCCCTGCTCAGCTGAGGGAAGTTCTATTTATGCTAGGTCCTAACGGTAACAACATGAAGAGACATCTTTGGGGAGCTGAGCTAACGGCAAGAATATGAAGAGTCATGAATGAGGCGTTGAGGCTTTAACTCTCTCTCATCAGAGGTGGCATCAAAGGTGGCTTCAATGACAATAAATGTGACACCTGTTGGATTCTAACCGTTGGAGTTCTGCCCGTTGGGTTCCCATATGATGCTGAGTCAGATGCTCATTTGTGATCCGGGTCGGGTGCCAGCCCTATTATCCTGTCACCAGTCCCCCCTACTCCTGAGTCAACGGATGTGTTTGAGTTGACTTGGGAGTAAGGCTGAATCTATCTTGATCCTGTGTAGAATCCTGCTTGATTTAGGATATGTGATTTTATTTGATCCTGTGTATGTGATTTTATATATATATATATATTTTAATCACATATAATTTTATTTTATTTCTTATGCTAGCCGAGATAGGCTTTGGCCTAGGTTGGCAGAGGTGCGTGCCTCTGGCTGAGGCGTCGCCTCGACCGATCGTGGCCGAGGCGTGCGCCTCGACCGATCTTGGCTGAGGCGTCGCCTCGACTGATCGTGGCCGAGGCGTGCGCTTCGACTGATCGTGGCCGAGGCGTCTCCTCGACCTATCGTGGCCGAGGCGTGCGCCTAGACCGATCTTGGCCGAGGCGTCGCCTCGACTGATCGTGGCCGAGGCGTCGCCTCGACCGATCGTGGCCGAGGCGTCGCCTCGGCTGACCGTGGCCGAGGCGTCGCCTCGGCCGATTGTGGTCGAGGCGTCGCCTCGACCGATCGTGGCCGAGGCGTCGCCTCGACCGATCGTGGCCGAGGCGTCGCCTCGACCGATCGTGGCCGAGGCGTGCGCCTCGACCGACCGTGGCCGAGGCGTGCGCCTCGGCCGATCATGGCCGAGGCGTCGCCTCGACCGATAGTGGCCGAGGCGTCGCCTCGACCGATCGTGGCCGAGGCGTCGCCTCGACCGACCGTGGCCGAGGCGTCGCCGACGCCTCGACCGATCGTGATCGAGGCGTCGCCTCGACCGATCGTGGCCGAGGCGTCGCCTCGACCGACCGTGGCCGAGGCGTGCGCCTCGGCCGATCGTGGCCGAGGCGTGGCCTCGACCGATCGTGGACGAGGCGTCGCCTCGACCGATCGTGGACGAGGCGTCGCCTCGACCGATCGTGGCCGAGGCGTCGCCTCGTCCGATCGTGGCCAAGGCGTTGCCTCGACCGATCGTGGCGGAGGCGTCGCCTCGACCACTCGTGGCGGAGGCGTGCGCTTCGGCTGATCGCGGCCGAGGCGTAGCCTCGAACGATCGTGGCTGGGGCAGGCTCCGGCCTTTTTTTTTTTTTCTTTTTTTCTTTGGCCGAGACGGACTTCGGCGTTGGTCGAGGCGGGCGCCTCGGCCGAACCGTGGTCGAGGCGGGCGCCTCGGCCGAACCGTGGCCGAGGTGTGCGCCTCGGCTAACCATTGGCCGAGGCGGGTGCCTCGGCCAACTCTTGGCCGAGGCGGGCGCCTCGGCCAACACTTGGCCTAAGCGCACCTCGGCCAACCCTTGGCCGAGGCGCGCGCCTCGGCCAACACTTGGCCGAAGCGCACCTCGGCCAAGTGCCGAGGCGCACCTCGGTCAGACTGTGGCCGAGGCGGGCTCCTCGGCCAAACTGTGGCCGAGGCGTGCCTCGGTCAGACTGTGGCTGAGGCGGGCTCCTCGGCCGAACTTTGGCCGAGGCTTGCCTCGGCCATCCGAGTTGAGTCACGTCTCGGCCAACCTGTGGCTGGGGCGTGCTACTCGTTCTTTTTTTTTTTTTTTTTTTTTTTTTTTTGGAAACAACATGGGCGCACCACAAGCACGAGATACTATTCCAAAAGATTTCAGAATGCAAAGCGGGCGGACCGCGATTGCCAAACACTAGTCCCAAACGACTACTAGAATATTAAGGAAAATACTTAATCAAATGTTCCTAGCTCCATACCCGATCGATTATCTTTACAGATGGTGTGGACTTATGGATCATTTCTGCCAATCTTTTTGCATGCTTTAACGTAACAACTGCGGGCTGCTCGCTGGTTTCCTCTGACGACCCCTATCCCATTCGGAGTAGGGAACTTCATACACAAGTGTTCCACCGACACTATGGCCTTGAGGTCCTCCAGTGCCGGCCTCCCCAAAATGATGTTGTGCGCACAAGTGAGTCTTACCACGATGAAT